AGTGCCACCATTGAAATACCAATTGATTATGAGTAGATAAGCTAGGGGCGTACGGAGCCAAAATCCCATGTATTTTCTTATGAAGGTTCAGATTGCAAATTTTTGGTGAATTTTACCCCCTCCACTCCACTTTTAGGCCACGCCCATCGACCAATCAGAGCGTAGCATTCAAATTGGCCACATCTCTCGACCAATCAGATCGCGGCAAATTGGCGGTAAATTTAAAATCGAGTAACGATAGGTTGTTTGATCAATCAGAGTGCGGCAATAAAATTGGCGGTAAATTCAAATTTCTAGATTTAAACGCATGTGTAATAGAGATCGGAGTGAAGGAAGAGAGGTGGACTGCAATTGATGGTAAATTTAAAGTTGGTTTCGAATTTTATTTAAATTAAAAAAGTCTTGCTCTGTCTGAGATTCGAACCCCGAACCTTTGGATTCCAAAGCGAGCCCGTTACCTCTAGACCACCATAGTAGCATCTAACAGCAGGAATAATGTGCTTGATATATTGAATATTTCAGCTATTAGTATAAAACTTACGGTTGGGTAGCGCTTAAAAGGATAAAAATTTAATTACTAGAATTCCATGTTATTTAGGAAATGAGTTAATATGAACAAAAATAAAATATGTTTAATACATGCGCAGAACATACTTGTAATTAGTGCCTTATTGGTGGTAAATTCAAATTTCTAGATTTAAACGCATGCGCAATAGAGATCGGAGTGAAGGAGAGAGGTGGGCTGCAATTGACGGTAAATTTAAAGTTGATTTCGAATTTTATTTAAATTAAAAAAGTCTTGCTCTGTCTGAGATTCGAACCCCGAACCTTTGGATTCCAAAGCGAGCCCGTTACCTCTAGACCACCATAGTAGCATTTAACAACAGGAATAATGTGGTTGATATACTGATGCTAAATAATATTTCAGCTATTAGTATAAAACTTACGGTTGGGTAGCGCTTAAAAGGATAAAAAAATTAATTACTAGAAGAATTCCATGTTATTTAGGAAATGAGTTAATATGAACAAAAATAAAATATGTTTAATACGTGTGCAGAACATACTTGTAATTAGTGCCTTATTGGTGGTAAATTCAAATTTGCATTAGCACCTTATATTTCGCTAACGGTTTGAAATAAATAGCTGTGTCACTAAAATTGGGTTAAGATATTTACGAAACATCAATTTTTTTACAAAAGTTTAACACGAAAACGAAGCATTGTCTGTTAAATTTATTGTACATACTAATTAACACCCTGTATAACAGTATCTATTTAATTACTAGAAGAATTCTATGCTATTTAGGAAATGAGTTTAATAGAAACCGTTGTTATTATTATCTTAATACTGCCGTGTCATCTGTATATATATCTTAAGTTCGTATTAAAGCCCATGTGACCAACGCTAACTACTTATTCTTTTAAATATTAAATTGTATTGAAAAAGCAAAAGTTCAGCCTAGGTCTGGGAGAGAACGTATTAAGGAACAAACCAACAGATATAAAAACCTTTTAAAATCTAAGAGTTGTCATGTCGCTTCTTTAAGAACATCCTGTAGACTGCTGCTGCTGCTAGTGGCCTGAAGAATGTAGGTACCTAGAGGAGAGGAATGGAATGAGAAAGAAAATCTCAGTATGTGTACACCGTTTATTAAGACTGCTTCTTAAATCTGTTAAAAATTCAGATTCAATAGGTACTAGTTTAATATTAGAACGAGAGAGAGAGAGAGATAACAAATGGTATTGTTACCTTTATACATGTGTCATCACAAATCACGACAACAGCCGGGGTTCATTCGCCAGAAATTGAGTGGGTATATGAAACAAATATCAAAAATTCAAACATAGCTCCGTTCAGGTCTCTTGAACGAAAAAACATGCGCATTAGCACAAGATATCTTATATTTCGCTAACGGTTTGAAATAAATGTGTCACTGACGTAAAAGCATCAGCCACGTATACAAAATCCAGGCGACAGACATGCGCATATTTGTACATCTACAGGATGTTTTTTTAAAATAACACAACTCTTGTAACTTATATACAAGTTGTCTGATTGAGAGAAAATGGGGGAATTGAAGATTGTTACTGAATGGTAAATTCGATCCCTTCATATATACCTTAGTTGTGGTAGTATGTGTAAAGACCATTACATCTAAGTAGTGTATAAATGAGAGTGCTGAGCGGAGCATGTTCAATGTGCAGACCTTGACCCCAGACGACCGCAGGTCGTTGACTTTGACCCCAGACGACCGTAGGTCGATGACCTTGACGTGCCCTTGGCCCCTGACGACTAGAGGTCGATGACCTTGACATGACCTTGACCCCAGACGGCCAGGGATCGATGTCCTTGACTTGACCTTGACCCCAGACGACCAGATGTCGATGACCTTGCCTTGACCTTGGGGTGACCTTGACCACAAACGACCAGCCGTCGATGACCTTGGCATGACCTTGAGGTGACCTTGACCCCAGACGGCCAGAGGTCGATGGCCTTGACTTGACCTTGGGGTGACCTCGACCCCAGACGGCCAGAGATCGATGCCCTTGACTTGACCTTGACTGGCCTTGACCCCATATGACCAGAAGTCGGTGACCTTGATCCCAGACGGCCAGAGGTCGATGACCTTGACTTGACTTTGGCCCCAGACGACCAGAGGTCGACGATTGTTAAAAATAGAATATTACATCATTTCTAAAAATAGAACACATCTGTCGATGACATTTCTAAAAATAGATTACGTCGTATATGGTTGCCAGATGTTTCCGACGCACCAGGCGTCAGGGTATAAAACAAAGTAATATGCATCAACTCCTCAGTTTTATTCACAATGCAGTGCGAGTACTGCGATAAAGCTTTTTCAAATAAATACAGTTTAACTCGACATGTTCGCGAGTATTGTCCGGTTTTACACCATAGACTGTGTAGTGAAGGTCCATCAAATAAAAAACCAAAGTTAGACAATATTATTTGTCAACATTGTGGAAAAAAATTTTCAACTATGTTTAACTTAAACAGACATATTCAGAATAACTGTTTCGTTTTTAAAAAATCACAACCTTCTACAAGTGGTGCTGGTTATTCGTCAAGTCTCAATAGAAAGAGGGTTAATCAAGCCGTAATTGAGACCTTGGAAGATGGAGTTACAAAACTACAACATGCATTCAAGAACAGAATAGCTACTTACCGATTCAACAGTCCCAAAACTCACATCGATTATAAAATATTTATGGATGAAGCGAGGCCAAAAATAGAAAACATAATTATAAAATACTTACAGGAGCATACAACGTTCAAGATTAATTTTGAGGTATTTGGGCTTTATGTAATACCTTAGAAAGAAATGAGTGATATCAAGTCCTTCAATACGAAGAATAAAGTAGTGACTCAATCAACTGATCTACAAAAAATGTTTGAGGAATTTATAGAAGAAATTACTTCTCAAGCATCTGAATTCCAGATGAATGAATGACTCAGGATGGACATTAAAACATATCATGTTCCTAGATGTCAATATAAACAAGTTTACCCCAATGTCAGCGGCAACCTATATTAAATTACCGAGATGTGTTGAAAATAAAAAAGCAGTTTTAAATATACAAAATAAGGACAATGCGTGTTTCGCTTGGGCAATTAATGCGGCCATTTTCTCCGCAAATAGTAATCCTACACAAACAAGTTCATATCCGCATTACGATACTTTGCTTAATTTCACCGGTATAGACTTCCCTGTAAAATTAAAAGACATCACCAAATTCGAAGAAATGAACAATATATCTGTAAATGTGTTTGGCTTGGAATAGGAATTTAAAGATGGAAAAACTATTAAAGAAGTAGTTGGACCTCTACATTTTACCAAATGCCGCAAGCCTACACATGTTAATTTATTGCTTGTTTCTGATGATTCAGGCAATAATCATTACTGCCTAATTAAAAATCTGTCAAAATTAGTTTCGAAACAGAAATCTCTACACGATGGAGCATTACACATTTGTGATGGATGCCTGCAATCATTCAGAAAAATTGAAATTTTAAAAGCCCACCAAGACAATGACTGCAATCATGTTTGTGTCAAGATAACATCTACTGATCTAAAGATAAACAAGTATGGAGAATCAATTCCTGAAAATATTCTAAAATTTGTCAACTTTGAAAAACAGCTACCTGTTCCTTTCGTCATTTATGCCGATTTTGAGAGCTTGTTGAAACCACTTCACCACAATGAGCCATGTAATGATAATTCGTTTACAGTAAAAATATCAGAACACCAGCCATACTCATTCGCCTTTTACTTGAAGTGTATGTTTGATGATAAATATTCGAAATTTGAAATATACAGAGGACCTGACGCTGCTGAAGTATTTATGAAAAAATTAGATCAAACAGTTTATGACGTATACAACAATCACCTCAAGCATATCAAGGAAATGTCTCTGTCAGACCAAGAAAAAACAGATTTTAAGAGTGCCACAACCTGTCATATTTGCAACAAAATCTTTAAACCAGAAGACATAATAACAAGAGACCACTGCCATCTAACGGGACGTTTTCGTGGTGCTGCACATCAAACATGTAACTTGAATTATAAAGTGGGGAAATTTATTCCAGTTTTTTTTCACAACCTTTCAAACTATGATAGTCATTTATTTATCAAGAAGTTATCACTGAAAAAGGAATCTGTGTCCGTCATCGCCCAAACAAAGGAAAAATACATCTCGTTTTATAAATCTATACTTGTGGAAAAGTCTGCAGACCCTAAGAGACCAGATACATATCTGAAATTAAAATTTGTGGACTCTTTTCGTTTTCTAGCTAAAGGACTGGATAAATTATGTAAGACCTTAACATCTGAGCAATGTGTAGAGACCAGGAAATACTTTAAAAATGATGAGGAGTTCAATTTAATAAGAAGAAAGGGTGTGTTTCCTTATGACTATGTGGAGAGCTTTGACAAACTAGAGGATCCCCATCTACCACTAATCAATAAATTTTATAACAGTATGACTATGGAATCCCTTTCAGAAGAGGATTATTGTCGAGCTAACAAAATATGGAACATCTTTAATTGTAAAACTTTGGGAGAATACGCGGACATATACCTAAAATCTGATGTTCTTTTGTTAGCGGATGTTTTTGAAAATTTCAGTTGGGATGCCATGTTACACTCTACTGGAGTAGAACTGGAACTGTTAACCGATATAGATTCTGTCCATTTTTTTAGAAGAGGAATACGTGGTGGTGTTGCTCAGTGTAGCAATAGAAAAGCTGTGGCTAACAACAAGTTTATTCCTAATTTTGATCCTCTGAAACCGACATCATATATTATGTATTTAGATGCCACAAACTTGTACGGTGCAGCAATGAAACAGCCCTTACCAACTGGAGGATTTCGATGGGTCGAGAAAGATGAGATTGAAAACTTTAATGTTTCAGATATAAATGATGATGCACATAAAGGTTATGTCTTGGAAGTGGACTTGCAATATCCAGCACATCTTCATGACATTCATAATGATCTTCCTCTAGGTCCTGAGAGTATGATACCACCAAACAGTAAAACAGCTAAACTGATACCAAATTTAAATGATAAGTACAAGTATGTAATTCACTATCGGAACCTGAAACAGTACTTAAAATATGGATTAAAGCTTAAGAAAATTCACAGGGTGTTGGAGTTTTCACAGTCAACATGGTTGGGATCATATATAGATTTAAACACTAGACTACGGAATGCGTCCAAAAATGAATTTGAAAAGGATCTGTTCAAACTGATGGTGAACTCAATTTTTGGTAAAACAATGGAAAACGTTGACAAAAGACAAAATATCAAACTATGTTCATGCTGGGAAAGTAAAAAAGGTTCTATTGGCGCACGAGCACTAATAGCCCTTCCACATTTTAAATCTTGCTCAATATTTGACGAAAACTTGGTAGCTGTTCAATTACAAAAGTTGAAAGTCGTATACGATAAACCACTTTACGTTGGATTTTCAATCTTGGACATTTCGAAGACAATAATATATGATTTCCTGTACGATTATATCAAACCTATATATGGCGACAAAGCAACTGTGCTTTATACGGACACAGATTCTCTTATATTAGAGCTGTTTACGGAAAATGTATATGAGGATATAAGGCAGAACATTGGATATTTCGATACATCAAATTTTCCAAATCCTAATATTCACAATATGCCCATTACAAAATCGGTAGTTGGAAGGATGAAGGATGAATATGCAGGAAAACCCATAGAAAGTTTTTATGGTACAGGCGCCAAGGCATACTGCGTAAAAGCAGGTGACGTCACAAAAAAAGCAAAAGGTATTTCTAAAAGTATAATTAAACATGAGCTGGACTTTACTGACTATGTACACATTGTTGAAAACGGTGGGACCATATTCCGTAAAATGCAAATATTTACCTCTACGTTGCACACTATTTACACCGAACTCAAAAATAAAGTGGCACTTTCGGCAACTGATGACAAAAGATATGTTAAAGCTGACGGTATTCATACTTTGGCATGGGGGCATGTGGATGTGACAGCAGAAAAAAATTTGAATGCTTTGCTGGAGGCAGCAGAACTGTTGCTTAGTGAGGATAAACAGGAACAGGATGAAAAAGATTGGGATTTTGATTTAAGTTTATTCGACTTGTAAATATCTATAATAAACATATTGTATATACTCTGCCAGTTTTTATTACTTCCTTAAATAAAATTTTTAGTGTGGGTACAATTAGAAAAAATCAAATATATTTTCTAAGTTCTTTATTTATTCATTGCTTTACAAAATATTTGTTGAGATTTTTGTAAACCCCATTTACAAAGAGAGCATCTAGACTGTGGTTGTGGTGGACCATCTATATGTGATGACCAATCTGGACGGTTGTAGTGTACAAAGCAGGGCAGTCGTATTTGCAACTCAAACATTTCTGTATAATGCATTGGAAGTATATTCCAGGCATATAAAAGTTCCATGGGTCGGATATTTTCGATCAGATAATGCAGTGGAAAGTACTGGAGCTCTTTTTCGGTAAAATCGTACAAAGGTTTACCATTTCGGTGTTTACTTATCAAATCTTCAGTTATACATCTCGTACACCACAGCTCTTCAGACATAATTCTCGGAAACTGGTAACAATCAGCAACAACGAAGAACAAATCGCTATATACCATATGAGGAAGGTATTTGCTTCGTATCCTCTGTTGCATTCACTATTTATGGTGTTATTAGAAGTGGGGGGTTTACAATAAATCTCCAGCCAATCAGAGTCCTGTATTACACCATTACCTCTTCTTATTCGTAATTTGTAAATGGTACTATTCGTTGGTATAGAAGATTTTAACATTTCCAGATAATCATGTCTATAAGGTTTCATTCTTTTCCAATTAATGGGCCAGCTGTCATTACGCGTTCCGTTATAATCAAAGCAAATAAACACCTCTTTTGAATTATAGGGTCGCTGTATAATTAGCGAACTTTTCAAAATGGTTTGCAGAACTATTAATTGCGAAGCGTTCATTATTGTTTCTATAGACAAACTGATTAATTTTGATAGTATATATATAATTTATATGGAATAATAAAACTATTTCATGACAATAATATTTATTAAATATTATATTAACACTAGCTTATTGGTGTCATTTCTACATCATTTTCCTCTTGATCATCAGATTCCCAATCAGATTAAGGAAGTTTATTGGTTAGATGTATCTCCAGTAAGCCACCACTCCACCAACGTTCCCCACTACCGATCGACATAAACCGGTTCATGGAGCGTGAACATATGGTACAACCGGTTTTATGAACTTGTGAAAGCGATAAATCACTATCAATAAGCGTTTTTATTTATGGCAATGTCATACAGCCGGTTTTACTGACTTGTTAAAACTAGTCGCGACCGTCGTTAGGCAGGGGACATCTCACGCGTGCGAAATCCTACGTGTTCGATAGTCTATGTCACCGAAAGCCTACGTCTACGAAATCCTGCCTGTTCGAATCGAGTCCACCCGATTGTAGCGATCGGGTGGGGAGCGAAGACCATTACGCAATTCGACTGGGTGCCGTGGGCGTTTGCCGGTTGGCGGTTGCCGGTTATTCCTTATTGTCAAACTCAAAATTCTAGTTAGGTTAGGAGCAGAAAATGTTTAGCATGGAATGTATTAACATGTTTTGTGGTGTAAAAGGTAGAAGAACATGTGTATGTAATGTCACAATTGTGAAGGAGTTTCCTTGGAGGATATATAAGCAGAAAACGTAATTTTTATTCTGAAATTTGAGTCACTGATATTTTTCCTTAAAATGCCTAATTTATGTTAGGTTAGAATTCGAATCCTATTCAGTGGCGTGGTAGTGAATTGTGGAAATAATTCGACGAGGGATAGGCAGTTTTTTTTAGCACGTCTTCAGAATTCGACAGTTATAAACCACTTAGGCAGGCATCTTATGAGCCAGTTTCAAAAGAGTTGACCTTATGAGATGAAAATTAATTTTGGTAGATTAGGTACATAGCTACAAGACGTTTTATAACAGGTAACTATATCTGTCTGTTTAGGGCCTAGTCCAGATCTACAATGTTCACATAAAAATGTGTTTTTAAACAAAATGCCCAATGCAAAAACAAACATTGGTTTGTCCTAAACAAAACTATATGTTAATGAAACAAAACTGAACAAAAGTTTAACCTTACCAGAAAATAATAATCATTTCGTTCAAAGAATACCTATAAAACATTTGATGACTGTATTTGTGAACAAATATGTTTACACTAGTTTGCGAGAAAATTGTGGTGTTCGAAACCAAATTTAAAACATTTGTTTCCCCATCCTCACTTGCAAACAAAAAACTTGCATAAATATTTACAAAAACATCTTTTAAACTGTTTTCATGCAGGTTTTTGTTTCTTGGGGAAAGTATGTGAGTATGTAGATTTGGACCTGATTTAAGCAGTGAGTATAAGAAACGAGCAAAAAGTATGATTTTACAAATGTAATATGTACATATGTCATGGGTTATAAATACAGTATCTTGTCATGTAGTATAAAGAGGGATTTAGAGGATGAAAAGACGAAAAATACCGTTACCAAAAAAGGTTTAAAAAATAATCTTTTGTGACTAGGCAAAACTGACCACAGCTGTTTTATTTGATAGGAACTTATTTAAGTATATTTATAATTTTTGTGTTCTGTAACACGTACTACCTACTCTTATAGGTAAAGCTATGTTTAATAATGGAACTTGGTATTTATAAATTGATAATTAAGATTGTTTTAATTTTTTTTAGAGTCCATTTATATGTATTTGTAAATGGGTTGAGAACAAGTGAATATATTGTATTACCAACCAATACTTGGCATTGATACTTTTGAATTTGGCTTAAAAATTTCTTATTATATTACATTATTTACAATTGTTTTACATAAAAGCTTCTTGTAAAATGAATAGATTTGAGTACTATTTTATATTTATAAATATTTCTTTTTTAGGTTTTCGATTTTTTGGGATGAAACTGATGTTTTAAATACCGTTTTTGATGAGAAATACTTATTTTCATAGTTTGGGAAGTTTAAACTTAATGTAAGTATTTCTTTCAGCAGACAAATTTGCCTAGTAAATCATAGATTTGAAAAATTCTGTAAATGTTGAAGAAACACTAGCCGGAAAATTAATTGCTCCACAGAAAGAAATATTAAATAGAGAAATTATGTTAAGAAATTTTAGACCAAGACAAAATCAAGACCAATGGTTTGCAGAAATTTATTAATAAACTTATAACTAAATATTTATTATTTTAAAGAAAATGACAACTTAACATTATTTTATTAAAAGATTTCCTGAATTTAAGTACATAAATGATTGAAAATTATTTACTCATCTGCTATTTCAAAATTTGTATAACTAATTTTAACACTGATCAAGTTTTGATTATACATTTTAAAATTTGGGTTTCAGATTTCATATCCATCATATGACACCAGCTTGTACATCCCATAGGGATTAATATTTTCTACAATTAAATAATGATGACAATTTAGTTGGATTTTATTATGTATGAATATTACAATCTGTTTTAAATTTAGATTTTGTTTGTCCTGACCGTCATTGAATTATTCTATAGAATGATTTAGATACAGCCACTAAAATATCAGTTAGAAGCATCGCCATATTCTCAAGTTTTGATTGGTATTACTGTACAGGATGACATTTGCTTTATATCAAATGGTTATGGTGCCAGAGGTAGTGATAAATATATATATATATAATGGAGCACTCTGGCTTCTTAAATAAATTTAAAACAGGTGACCTTCTAATAGGCGATAGAGGATTTTTTTGTATTGGATTCTTTTATATTGGCTTCTTCTAAAAGTAGAAAACAATAATTTGCTAAAGACATTGAAAGTAAGTACTACAAAAATATCCAATTCTTAATAAATGTTTACTACGATAAAATATATCACATGTATTTTTTGATTTGGATACACACGACGAATTAGTTATTTACAATGTGCCTAATTTGATTGAAATAATTTGTAAAAACAATCAAATACAATTAAAGTACCAAAGTTGAGGTTATTAAATTTAGTACCTACAACTTATTATAAAAATACCACCGTTATTTCTACAACATTCGTCGAAGAAAGTTAAAGGACACCCTTTGCAGTTCTTAAGGGCTATTTTTTAAAACATTTATGGCATTTTGGACATGCCTCCACAACTCAGTTCAGTGTTAGATAAGGAATCATGCACTATTGTATTCAGAGTGCCCCAAAGATAATAGTCGCAAGGTGTTAAGTCTGGTGAACGTACAGGCCAGTTAACAGGAGCATTATCTCCTCTACTGGTCCATCGATGAGAGAATCTTTGGTTCGGGTACTGCCGGACATTTATAGTGAAATGTGGTGGAACACTATCATGCATAAACCACATGTTAGCTCTGAGTAATAACGGCACATCTTCCAATAGCTCAGGTTTTGCAAAAATTCTAAATAAAATTCCCTATTCAGTCTATTGGGTAGAATAACAGGGAAAATAATAATGCTATCCCAAACAAGATCAAACTGAAATTATAGTCAACCTACAAAATCAGAGCCTACTTGTTAAGTATTGTAATATGGGTGGCAAGATAATGTATACATTTAAAAAATATTTTATCCACGACTATTGTATAATGTACCCATTATACGTCTGTTTGCTCGACCTTATTAATACCCATTAATCACGGCAGTGATTAATGAGTCATTAATCACTACTGTCAGATGCTTCCTTGATTTAGCTATAATATTATATTGTTCTGCTACAATCAATCGGTTTTTGAAATTTTATCGTGTAAACCACTAAATATTTTCAATTCAGTGCTGTACATATAAAAAAAAAATAAAAAAGTGAAATTTCCTAGACCAGATTCGAACCCGGGACCCGCGGTTGGAAGGAAGTAGCATCTACACTGAGCCATCAGCGACTTCGTTTGTGCGTGTCGTATATCTGTTTCTTAACATACCATGTTTTTCGAAACATTTCATAAATCTAAGTAGCTTTTAAAACAAAACAAATTTGACTCAAACCTGTCAACATTATTGTTTGTGTGGATAGATTTCTCAGTGTTTTGATATTTTGTGTTAAATTGCGTTAAAAAACGAACTAAAAACAAAAAAAAC